TTCTCAATTCCAACTCTCCCACCCTGTCCCCTCCTCCCCCCGGACAGTGGCAGCTCTACTCTTGTGGTTCTACTTCTTAAATTCTCTTCAAACTAGCCTCCCTGCTTCTCTTCTTTTTCCCTGACCATCCATTCTCACAGGTGCCAGCACGTTCCTTTCAAAACAGAAACCTGGTCACTTTGCTCACATGCACCTACAGTCCGTCACACAAACCGATCCTACTTAAGACCCTTTCTGGGCCTTCCCGTTGCTCCTTGGGATAAATGCTGGGCTTGCCATGGCCTGCAAGGCCCTCTGTGTGGCTGCCTCTGCTCCCCTCCAGCCTCATCCCGTCCCTGCCCCTGCCTCCCCCTCCCTCTGGATTCCCTCCACAGTGTCCCCTCGGTTTGCAGGCCCACTCTGGCTCTGTGGTGGCAGAGATTTTGCACCTGCTGTTCCCTCTCTGGAATGTGCTATTTGTTTTCTCCTGTTCTCCATTGGTTGGTTGCCCAGCCGATGTGTTTTCAGCCTGCAGATCTCAGCCTGAGGGACACCTCCTCAGGGAGGCCTGCCTGGGCTCCCCCTTATGCACTGAGTCTGGGCCGGATCCCTGTGTTCTAAGCTTTAGCTCAGGTTGTAATGGCATGTTCATCGGGGCATAGCCCAGGCAGTGGCTGGTTTTGTTGTTTTATCCTCAGCCCGGCACCTGATCCCACGAGCCTGTCTGGTCTCTGACACCTTTTCTGTGCCTGTCTCTGGGCCGGGGGCCACAAGTTGAGCAAGACTTTTCCCACCCTGGTCGGGTTGGGTTGGGCTTCCAGTGGTTGGAGGAGGGGAGGGCTCTGCCCGAGCCATGGCTTTATCAGTGTCCTGGCCTCCTGTCTGCCGCAGCTTTGACAGTGAGAAGGCTGGGGACCGGGAGGTGCAGAGGACGATGCTGGAGCTCCTGAACCAGCTGGATGGGTTCCAGCCCAACACCCAAGTCAAGGTGGGTATTGTCATCGCTTTACAGATGCTGGACATGGGGCTTAGAGGTCGGGACCTTCTCGGTCACCTAGTTCCTGCAGCTAGAATTAGAATTGGGGTCTGTCTAGAACATCCCCTGCTATTTCACCTGGACTGTGGGCTGCCTCCCTGCCTGTCTTGGCCGTGACTGGCCTGTCTGTGCACCGTCCTCCTCAGTTCAAGGTGCTGCCTCTCCCCTTGCTCAGGTAATTGCAGCCACTAATAGGGTGGACATCCTGGACCCCGCCCTGCTCCGCTCAGGCCGCCTGGACCGCAAGATCGAGTTCCCGATGCCTAACGAGGAGGCCCGGGCCAGAATCATGCAGATCCACTCCCGAAAGATGAACGTCAGGTAAGCGAGGACACAGCAAGGCGCTGAGACCCGAAGGGGCAGCAGCAGAGCGGTCTCTATCTCTTCTCTCTGTGCTAGGCTTCCCCAGGTCTCCGCCCACCTCTCTCCACCTCCCGTTCACACACACTATTCCAAACGCCAGCCTCCATTTCTCCCCAGGTGCCTGAGATAGAATCTTGCTGGGGCCCAGGCTCTAATTCTGGGTGCTCTCCTCCTTGGAATCCACCCCCACTCCTCCCCCATGATTGGAAGGCACACAGCCCAGAGGCCCCCAGTTTCCTGGCCTCCCCCACTTCAGCAGATCAGCAGTCCAACATGGCCCAGGGAAATCCAGCTGGAGGCCAGATGGACCTGGGGTCGGATCTTTGTGACCTTCAGCAGGTGGCGCAACCTCTCTAAGCCTGAATTTTATCATCTGGGCCGTGGGGCTGATGGCACTGACCTCATGGGGTTGTGGCAACATCAGGCACAGTGCTTGCACGTGAGACAGGACGTGGCAGCAGCAGTGCTGTGCTGATGGACGGCTTGCGCTGCTCAGGAGAGGGGAGAGGGCCATCTTTATGTCCACGACCTCCTGCTCCCCTGCGTCAGGCTGAATCAGTCCCTGGAGTCTCAGGTGCAGCTTTCTAGAAGGCTGGAGCTCAGGAGACACTAGAACTAACCTGGTCTAACCTGCTTTGCCCTACGTCCTTTCCTCTCCCCATCTTGTACCGAGAAGAGAACGAGGCACAGTGGGGAGGGGACTTAGCTATGGTCACAGGGTGAGTTGCCCTCGCTGCTTGATGGGGGACTGTGGGAGGACACCTGCTCCTCCCGCCCCCTCCCCATAAGGAGCTGAGCCTTGTGATGTCCGTCCTCCCCTAGTCCTGATGTGAACTACGAGGAGCTGGCCCGCTGTACGGATGACTTCAACGGGGCCCAGTGCAAGGCCGTGTGTGTGGAGGCGGTGAGTGGCAGGGTGAGGTGGGTGGGTGGGTGCTTCGTATCTTCTTGCTTCCCTTCCCTGGACAGGACAGGGGCGTTTGTCTGGTATAGACTGCTGAGGGGAAGAGGCTGAGAAGGCTGAGGCCTCAGGAGCCGGGCCAGGGTGCAGAGAGGCACCCTCGAGCCTGCCTGTCCTGGTGCAGGGCATGATCGCACTGCGCAGGGGCGCCACGGAGCTCACCCACGAGGACTACATGGAGGGCATCCTGGAGGTGCAGGCCAAGAAGAAAGCCAACCTGCAGTACTACGCCTAGGGGGTCGCCCGCCACGCCTGCTCCCTGGACTCTGGCTGGTTAAACTTCGTAATAAAGATGGTTTCGGGTCCCTGCCACCTGTCTGTCTCACCCCTGGGCCCTGGGTGGAAGAGTGGGGCATATGCAGGAGGCCCCTTCCCCAGGTGCGGCTGCCTGGAAACCCAGGACAGCCGTGGGCCTCGAACCAGTTGTCAGGGTGAGGCCCTCGGGGAGGGGTGGGCGCGTGCTGCAGCTGTCTGCAGCTGTCGCCTGGGGTCCTCTGGCCTCCCTCACGTGTCCCTCCAGCCCCTCTCCCCTCCCTGCCCCACCGCTGAGCATTAGAGGTTGTGGCGCTGCGGCTCTAGCGTGAAGGGCCTGGACAGGTCAGCCTTTCTCTCCTTTCTGCATGTCGGTGCTCTGGCCCTCGGCCTTGCCTCCTCGTAAAGCCAGGCCCTGGGTCTTTGCTCCTTAGGACTCCTCCCTTGTTTCCTGGCCCCCTGACCTCCTGTTTCTCCACATGTCCCCGTGAGCTCTTTTGGCCCATTTTCTCTGGCTGAAAAATGAACGTTGAGCAAGATCCACTCTGAGAGCCCTTCCAGGCCTAACCTTTGGCTATGCTGTGTTCTCCCCCACCCCCCATTCTGCCGTCAGCCCCACTCCCTGTCGGGCCCTAGATCCTGTCACAGTTTCTGTGAGGATCTCGCTGGTCCTCCTGTCTCCCAGCCTTCCTGGTTGTGGTTCACTTAGTGTGGTTTACCATTCATCGAGGGCTTACTCTGGGCCGTGTGCACCATGGGCCTTGTGCATAGTTTTATCTCGTCAAGGGCTTAGTCTGGGCCGTGTGCACTATGCGCCTTGTGCCTAGTTTTATCTCGTCATCTCAATAACCACCAGTAGGGGAGCCTCACTATATTTTATAGATGCATTTAAGCAGCTGGGCCAAGATTGCACAGTCTTAGGTGGCATCGCTGGGATTCAAACCCAGGGCTGAGAAGAAAGCCTGTCTGCTTTCCCCTGTGCTGTTGTACCCCTGAATGGCCTTTCAAGGAAACAGCCCTTCAGAACTCTCTTTCAGCTCTCACTTGCCCTCTGGCAAAAGCCCCTACATCCTTTTTCCTCAGTCCCAAAGCCCCTATACCCTGTTTTTCCCTAGTCCCCTCCCTCAAGGAGGCCTGTCGGGAGGGCTCAGCTCTGTCCCATCTCTGAGTCTCTCCCCTCTAGTCCACCACCTCCGGGCTGGCCTTCCAAGGTGCACCCCCATTGCGCTCTCCTTGGTGTTCCTATTGACTTCCCACCCCCTACCCGAGGAGCCCCAGCACAGCCTCTGAAGTGTGCTGGTTCTGTCCCCTGCCCTGGGCTCAGCTGCCCCCACTCCTGCATTCCCTAGTCCCTCTTCTAACCAGTCGGGGCATTCACCTGGCCGTGGCAAGTGAACCTGTAGGCACTACTTTCACCCCCACCTTGGCTCGCTCATCCCTAAATGGGGTCCCACTGCCTCCCTCAGAAGGCTGAGTGCCACGATTGCATGTGTGTCTGCCACCCAGCAGGGGTTCGGCACACCTAGGAGCCCCAGTGCCTGCTGAGGTCAGGGTGGGGGCTGGCGAGACAGCCCTGGGTTCCCTACTTAGTTCTTTCAGGCCTGGACCCACCAGGTCCTGGGTATGTCACAGACAGGTGAAGCGGATCCCTTTTTGCTGATAAGATACTGAGAGCCAAGCATCTCAGCTGAGGATGCAGCCCATTTGGGCTTCACAGCCTGTGTACCAGACTCTGACGTGGCGCAGACATGCTGCTCTCAGCCAAGAGGCTACTGAAAGTTGTCCTGGTTGGCTTGGAGAGGAGAGACTAGGACTCCACTTCCCTAATAGCACTTAGGACTTTTTCCTAATAGCACTGCGGGGAAGTAGTGCCCCCCGGTGCCTGATGCTGTCTTTACATCCAGCACATTCAGAGGAGGTGAGGCTGTGGGGTGTAGAATAAGGATCCTGTATTTCTTTTCTTTCTTGTTAATGAAAACTAATTTCATTGAGGCCAAACTGGGAGATGACTTTGGGGATGGAGCTCCCTTCCTTGGTTAAACTACTCAGGGGCAGGCTGGGACAAAGCTTGTGGGTCTATAAGATGAGGACCCAGCCCTTGGTGTGACATGGGCTACAGCAGCATAGTGCCAGGCTTGCTTGACGGGGATAGAAAGCTAAAAACAAAACACGCCAGGGAAACGTGAAATGCGGCACCCTGTTCTGAGACGCACCACGAGGGTAACGGTTCAGAGATGAGCACGAAGCAGAAGGGCTGGGGAGTGGTGGGGTGGGGGTGCCTGTGGAGACTGCAGGGCGGCCAGCGGGAGCTGGGCCTGCACAGCAGCCAGCCTGGCTGGGGCACGGGGCCCAGGAAAGCCCTGCTGGACCCTGGCCTCTGGTGTGCCGAACAGAGCCAGCCGGTTTGTGTATAATATTTATTTGCATCTCATCTATAGAACAGGTATTTACAGATACAAACGGAACCACAGCAAAACTGCTGTAAAACCATTCAGAGCCCCTTGATGGCCACTTCCCAGGGCCGAGCAGCAGGGCTGGAGTCTGGCCATGCAGTGGGCCAGCTGAGTACCTGGGCGTCAGCCAAGGGAAATAGCTGGGGATTATGGCTTCAGCATTCTCCCAGAGCACATTCCTGAGCGCTGACAACGTGGAGCCCGCGCCACCCCCACTGCACCCCCACCCGCAGTGGGACAGGAAAAGGGGAGGGGAGGCAGCCATGGCTGACTCTCTTCCCACCCCCAGAGCATCTGCCCGGACCCTGTGCTGGCGTGAGCATCCCTGAGCTGGACTGGGAGGCCTCTCTGGCCCGGGGCTGCGTGCTGCCCTGCAGGCTGCTGTTTTTGGCAGCTGGAGGTGGCGAGAGCTGCTGGCGCTGCCAGGGAGCATTCACTGGGGGAACGGGAGCTGGCCCAGGGCAGGCAGCCGTGAGGAAAAGGTCTTAGGAAGCATCTCCCAGCTCCACGCTGGGAGGGACAGGACTGTCAGTGCTGAGTGGGGCTGGGGGCTATGAGCACCTGCCTCTCCTTTCTTTGGCCTTAGAGCTGGTGAAGGAAGGGCCAGCACAATGAACGTGGCAGAGAGAAGACGCCCCAGCCTCTGCCCCTGGCTGCCCAGGGCTGGGCGCGTGAGCAGAGGGGTTAACTCCCTCAGGCCAGGGACCCATGAGGCCCCAGCAGGAGACAGCTTCGGGGCTTCCTGCAGCCCTGAGCTCCTTCAGCTGCTCTCACTCCTCTTGGGGTCCCAGTGGGGAGAGCCTCTGCTTGGGACCGGTGCTGCTGTTCCTCACTGCTCACTCCGGGAAGTGCAAGATGACAGAGTGGCAAGGAGAGGACCACAGCATGGCTGCGGGAGGCGCGGGCATTAGGTCCTGGGCCCAGCGCACGAGGGATCACAGTGTTGGTCTCGCACACACCTCTGGTCACACATGCACATACATACACACACACGCACATCATCCTCTGGTCGGAGGCTCGCTCTCACGGGCATTCGCCCTCTCTGCCTCACACACGGTCACAGAGTGAATCCGAGTCTCTTATTGCTGTGCGGGGGGCGGGGCATCAGGAATGGTTACTCAATGAAGACTGAGAACAGCACCATCACCACAATGCCCGTGCAGAGCAGAAGCACCTGCTGCAGGGAGTGCCTGTGGGGAGAGGGGGCCAGGGCTCAGCGGGTGGCACTGGCTGAGGGGAGGAGGCAGAAGCCGGATGCTCCTCCCCCTCGAGCCCCTAAGGGTTCTGCGTGTGGCAGGCCCAGGGGGGGTCACTCACCATGGGTCGTCTTCCTCTAGGAGGTCAGGCAGCACATTCACCAGGGCGATGTAGAGGAAACCGCCAGAGGTGAAGGGCAGGATCCAGGCCACGGTCTCCTCTATAGCAGGGAGAAGTCCTGACTGGCTGGGGGCCCAGGGGAGCCGTGTGGACTGCACCCCACCCCCCGCAGGGCAGACAGGGCAGAACCCGGCCTGGACACCAGGGCAGGGCAGCTGTGCCCTTTGGCTGTGGGCCCCTCTGCGGACCGCCACTGCCTCCACCACCCACCACGCCCGTACCTACTCCCTTGGGGGACTGCGTACAGATGGCGAAGCAGGCACCCAGCAGGCCCCCCAGTGCCGTCGAGAGCTGCAGCTTGGCTGCGCTCCATCGGTCAAAGCCGGCCCGGAGCAGGATGGCAAAGTCGCCCACCTGAGGGGAGGTCCAGTTGATCACTCTGGGCCCCAGTGGGGCTGGACCCCCTGAGCGCCTCAGGTGTGGACACCAATCCCCCTGCACCAGCCCTGCCGCTGGGCCCCCCAGCCCACATCCCCTTCGCTGGGACCCCAGTCCCAAGGAAGCTGGAGCACAGCTGAGAAGGTGGCTACAGCCTGGTGCTGGGCTCAGGCCTCCGAAGTGCAGCTCCCGAACCTGCCACTGGCGGGCAGTCCCATCCCAAAGCCCCCCAACAAGCGCCATGCCCACATTGCTGACCATGGAAACCCTCTGGCACTAACCTCATGGGGGATCTCGTGCAGGAGGATGGCCATGGTGGTCAGGAGCCCGATCTGCAGGGAGGGGAGTCTGGGGTCTGTGCCGAGGGCCAGGGCACCCACTGTCCACTCATTCTACCAATATTTATTTACTCTGAGTGCTCTGGCTGGACACCATTTGGCTACTAGAAATACAGCAGCGGATAAAACAGACAGAGAACCTGCCTTCATGAAGCTAACAGTCTGGAGGGAAGAGGCAAGGATTGAATAAACACACAAAGAACTGTGTGACTACACACTGTGACAGCTGCTGTGGGGGAAAGGATGAACTGGGTGCCATGGGGCATGAGTAACGGGGGCCTAATTTAGATGAGGGATCAGCAAAGGCCTCTTTGAGGAAGTGCATTTAAGCTGAGGCCTGAAGGATGAGGAGCCAGTGGTTCAAAGAGTGGGAGGAAGAACATTCCAGGCAGATGAATAGTGTGAGGTGGAGGCCATGATGGGGGAAAGAGCTCAGCTAGACCACTGGGGCCAGAATACAGCGGGGGAAGTGGGGAAGAAGCATCTAGAAGCAGGCAGGGGCTAAGCCTGGCAGCCTGGCAGAGGCATGTGTACAGATGGCGAACTGCACACATGTTCCAACAAGGAGTGTTTGCAGCAAGGAGAACAGACCAGGGGCTTGGGGCAAAAGAAGGCTGCCTCCAGAAGAGCCACAGGGAGTGCTGGAGGCTGAGATGAGGGTGTTGGTTGTGGAGGGAGCGAGAAGTAGATAGACTGGGGACCTATTTTGGAGGTAGAGCCAACTGGTCAACACGGGCACCATCAATCAGAACTGCCTGGGCCCCTCCCGCCCCAACCCCCACTCACCTTCTTGCTCACAAGGAAGCTGGCAGCCACAGCCAGCCCGTGAGTGAAGTTGTCTATGGTGTTGGCCAGCAGATTGAGATAGCCACTGACCTGGGTGAGGGGAGAGAAAGCCGGGCTGAGCTGGGCAGGCAAGCCTGAGCTGGGCTAGCCACTCGGGGTGGGGCGGCTACAGGAGGAGGGGACCCTGAGCGGGCCACTCACTCTGATGCTCCGGACCACAGCGCTCAGGCCAGGCTCTGCAGCCGGCTGGGCCAGACAGTGGCCTCCATTGAGCGTGGCGGCAGCAGCGGGGTCTTTGCTGGGGGCCTAGGGCCAGGAGAAGGAGAGGTGACATTAGATGCTCCTGACTTGGCCAGGGTAGACACAGAAGGGGAGCGGGAGATGGAGAAATGAGACGGGGAACACCCCTTGTATCTAGCTAGACTCTTCTGCTGCTCAATCAGCTGAGTGCCCCCAAACTCAGCAGACCCTCTGCCTCCCACATGGCTGTCACTATCAGTCTATGAGAACAAGCCACAGCAGGAGGTGATGCTGTCACTCTCCAGAGCCTCCCAAACGAGTTGGCCCAGCCTCCCAGAGCTCCCAGGAAAGGGCCCAGAGACCCTCTTTTCAGGGCTCAACTCAGAACCTGGGCCTCCAGGCCCTGGGGTTTGGGCCCACCTGGCTGGTCCCCTCCTTTTCCTTGCTGTCTAGGAACATCTTCTCCAACGCCAGGAAGGTCAGGAAGCCAGCAATGACCCACAGCCCCAGTTGCTGTTGCTGCTGCAGGCTCTGCCCCTCACCACCTGTAGGGGGCAGCACTGACAGGCCAGGCCAAGCCAAGCCAGGCCAGGAGAAGGGGGGACCTAGTCCACCGCAGTGTCAAGGGCACAGGGCCCGAATCGGTTGGTGAAACAGCCGGGCCCCAGAGACTCCCACGGGGGCCAGGGCACTGGGACCAGGACAAGTCCCCTCTCAGATGCCCAGAACCCCTCTCCCATCATCCTGGCAGAGCCGGCTGGGCCTAGGCCGCCATGGGGCATGGGCACCATCCCCACCCCCCTCCCGCCCCAGCCTGCGGCCTCACTCACCAGGGCTGGCGCTGCACGTGTAGGCCCACGCCTCGGGCAGCAGGTGGAGAAACACATTGCCCAAGAGTCCTCCCAAGGCAAAGCTGAGCAGCTGCTTTAGGCGCCGGGCCCCAGCTACAAGGCAGAGATGCCAGGCCTGGAGGTGGACCCACCAAAGTCCCTGGCCTGACCTCTGCCCCACCAGACTGCAAGCCTCCAGAAGGCTGGATGGGCGGATGCCTCCCCTGGGTCCCCCGCTCCCAGGCCCAGCAGGGGCTGGGTGCTTGGCAGGAACACACCACGACCTGCTGGACAACTGCGGAGCCACGACTGCTTAACGGTTAAGAGACTGGGCGTGGGAGCTGGACAGGTCCCAGCTTCCCAGCCCACCAGCTGGTGCCCCTGGGCAGATTACTTCTGGGACTAAGTTTCCCCAGCTGTACACCGGGGATAACTGTATCTATCTGATAGGGATCTCGAGGATATTAAATGACAGTACACACAGCAAGCGATCATTAAATGGGAATTTGTCTCTTCTCAGCAACTGTTACTCTCAGAAAAGTGGCAGAGATTCCGGGACTTGCACAGATTTGCAGCGTTGAGTTGGAAGTGCCCTCAGGGGGCCATGCCCAAACCCTTGGTTTGATAAGAGAAACTGAGGCCCAGAGGGCAGTGGTAGCTTGGTGGTGGGGTGGGATTCCAGGAGAAGCTACTGTTTCCAGGCTGTGTGACTTCTGCTGGTCAAAGAACCTCTCTGTGCCTGTGCTTCTCCATTTTCAAAACGGAGCTAACACAGGCATACCTCGGGGATACTGCGGGTTCGGTTCCAGACCACCACAATAGGGCAAATATCTCAATAAAGCGAATCACACGGATTTTTTGGTTTCCCAGTGTGTATAAAAGTATATTTACACTATGCTGTAGCCTATTAAGTGTGTAATAGCATTAAGTCTAAAAAACAATGTACATACTTTAATTAAAATATACATTGTTGCTAAAGAACGCTAATCATCATCTGAGGCTTCAGTGACTCAATCTTTTTGCTAGTGGAGGGTCTTGTAAAAAATGCAGTATCTGTGAAGGGCAATAAAGCGAGGTATGCCTGTAATCCAAGTCCTCCCTACGGTGACCTTGAAGGGACGCCATGAGAGGGGCTGAGCTGGTGCATAGGCACGACGGTGGGCCCCACGAGGGCTTTGTTCACAGCTGCGGTGTCAGCCCTCAGCCCAGGGCCTGGCACGGCTGTGTTCTTAACCATCTGCTGAATGAACAGTTCCTGAGCCTGGCAGGCTGCAGAAATGCCTGCGGCACTCATTGCAAAGATTCCTGGGGCCCCGGGCCAGACCTACTACGTCATACTCTTGGGTGGGGGCGACAGGCACCTGCGTTTTTAGCAGCTCCCCATCTGATCTTGTATTTTTCATGACAACATGTCATCTGTGGATAGACAGTACCTGCGCGTGATACAAAAGGGGAGCCGAGGAAACGCCTCTGTCCACACCTGCGTCCCCTCCAGATCCTCTCCCCAGACGCAGGCCTGCTCCAGCCTCTCGTGTAACCTGGGTGAGGCTGACTTGGGGCACTTGGTTCGAGAGCCCCTTTGCACTTGGAGCAAAGACTGAAGGGAGATGCATTGCTTTGCTCACCACTGCATCCCGGTACCTAGCCCGGGAGCCAGGAACAGGCTGCCTTTCCCCTGCACCAGGCTGTCTTCCAATGCTTTACCTATATTAGTTCATTTACTCCTCACAATAACACCTGTGAGGTAGATACTATTATTATTCCCATTTTTAAGGTTGGGAGTCTGAGGCAGAGGGAAGTAACTTGCCAAATGCCCCCCAGATGGTAAGTGGCAGAGGCAAGACTTGAACCCAGGTAGCCTGGCATCTGTATTTCCAACCACTCTCTATACTGTTTCTTTCATTTTTGGTGAGGCAGACTGGCCCTGAGCGAACGTCTGTGCCAATCTTTCCTCTATTTTGTATGTGTGTTGCTGCCACAGCATGGATGCCAAGCGGTGTAGATCTGAACCTGCGAACCCCGGGCCGCCGCAGCGGAGCATGAGAACTTAACCACTACGCCACCAGGCTGGCCCCTCCATACTGTTTCTTGGTGAACATTTGCTGACTTTTATTCTTTCAGGATAAACAAACGCATGAACAAATAAATGTGGCGCATCCTGGTCTCACAGGACCCAAGTGAGAAATTGTATTCCATCCCCACCCTCAGCCTCACACACACTGTGATCCCAGATGTGCGACTGAGCTCTCCCAGGAAGAGGGGGAGCATGTCTCCCGCACTGCTGGCTGCCCCTGGGCACCAGAGGACGGTCACCCACCTTCTGAGCGCAGCGTGGTCCCCATCTCCAGGGGAATGACGAACAGTGGGAAGACCCCGCTGAGCCCCACCATGAGTGAGCCCAGGAGGGAGCAGATCCAAGTGTCCAGCCTCTCCTCGCTCAGCAGGGCCCCCCAGGACTCACTTTCCTTGTTATCCAGGCGACAGGCAGCTGCAGCCCCCCGATTCCGGAGGGCCTGCTGGGAACCCCCAGCCCCACCCAGAAGCTCCAGGGCAAGAGCAGTGAGGAAGAGGAGCCTTTGGCCCGCCATGCCACAACCAGGGCAGGGACATCCAGGCATACCACGTGCTGAAAAACACAAAAGCCACTTACGTGAGCTGCCATCCTTGGCCGCACACCTGCTTAGGAGACGTGGCATTCTATCCCTCCCCCCCAACAATTGGCTATGTCGCCTGCCCCCCTGCTTGCCCTGCCCAGGGCCTCTGAGGATCTGAACAGTGGGTTCACACACCAAGGGCTCCGCTCCTCTACACCCCACTCCCAAGGACCACACATTGTTTCCTTGTGAGCCAGCCCAGACTGTGTGTCAGCACGTCCGCCTGAGGCTAAACTTTCCTTAATGACAGGATAAGCGCTGGCTGGGTTCCCCTAAGCCACCGGCAGGCCCTGCCCAGCTGGGTGTCTCTCTGACTGCCAGGGGAGGCTTTGCTGCCGGGATGTGCCCGGTGAGGACACCCAGAGACTGAGGCTGGCACTGTCTAGCTTGATGGGGTGACATTAGGAGGTGCAGGTGGGGAAACCAAGCAGCAGAGCTAGGAAAGGACCCTCAGAGCTTCTTCCTAGGAAATGAGCCCAGGGCCCCTGGGGCATGGAGACAGACAGGAGGTGGGACTGAAGAGAAAGGATCCTTCCCTTGGGAGCTGCCTCACAGGCTCAGAGCCCCAGTTGACTTGGTGCCCTGCGCTTACAGCTGTTTGACTGAGGGCAAGTCCTCCAAGCCCCCTCTCTGAGCCTCAGTTTCCTCCTCTGTAGGATAAAGAATGTATTGCCTCCCCCACATGGTTGTGAAGATGAGATGAGCTTGCTAATGCAAGCGAACATGCCTGGCAGGGAGGAGGCGCAGGGAATCCTCCTTCTGCTGGGGGTGCCTGGAGCACCAGGCAGTAGCGAGGTACTTGGCCAGCAGAGCACAGGACGTGGAAGTGAGTCAACCAAGAGAATTCAATCTGGAAACTCAGGCGTGAGGCTGAAACGCGGTCTGCCCTGCCTCATGCTGGCTGTGACCTTGAGCCGGCGTCCCTGCCTCAGTGTCCTCATCTGCTGATGGAGGTGGCCGGGGGGGAAGGCAGCTGCCTCTGGCAGGGGAAAGGAAGCCCACGTCTAGGCTCTCAGGCCTTACTGGGAGACCCTGATGAAACCAGCTGGGCTCACTGGGGACGGAAGGCAGGACTGGGCCAGGCCGGGGCTGGAGGCCGCGGGGGTCACGGAGAGGGGAGGGTACCGCAGGTTTGGGAGAGGGGAGGGGGGCCGAGAGAGTCAGAGGGGAGAGTCCAGAGTGAGCGAGCCGGAGAGGAGCGGCCGCCGAGGGGCGCCGAGGCAGAGACGGGGAGGGACGAGGGGGCGCCAGGAGAGAGGAGCCCAGGGAAGTGGAGCTCCGGGCTCCGGGCGACAGGCCCGGGTCCCCCGGGCGGGGATCGGCCCCGAGGGCCGGGCGGTCACTCACCGTGCGGCAGCGGCGGCGACGCTCCGGGCGGCCCCGGCCATCCAGCT